CTGCTCGGGGAGTTTTATGATTTATAAGGCTATGTGTCTTCACATCTGTCCTTCACATGCAAATGAATAAGGAATAACACAATCAGCCCTTTCCCTCTGGTCATGCTTCCTTCCATGCCATATTTATCCTATTTTCTTCTCCCCCTTCACCTCAACGTGTCTCATTTGCACTCTGTTCCACTGATCCCTCTTTAAACTGATTTTAGTCTTATTCCCTTTCCCTCCCTCTCCTGTTCCCTGCCTCATGACTCATGGATGGTATTTTTTGGCGTCACAATCAGTCATACAACATGGGTAAATATAGATCGGAAGCCTTAAAGACGTAGTACGTGTGAGAGAGCACATTATGCACCACGGACACGCCTCAGGGAGGGGTATTAGCCAAGTTGTGATTTCTCTTGGTTTAGATCAGCAGCTTTGGGTGGTTTACCTGCCTGTGAGCACGTCGCCTTGGCTGGCAGGACTTTAATCCCAGCTGTCTCCATTATTTTCACTCGGTTTCATCCATACTGCTACACCTGGTTTCATCTGGTGTCAGTTTAGACCTGAAGTCTTTAATGACGTTGCCTAGATAGTGAGAGCTCATCAGTTTAGGGGTATGTCTTGGTGTGAAGAGTGCACAAGAAATAATACCCTTGAATTCTGAAATGTGACTGGTCACATAATCAAACAAGTTAGCATATAGACACAACACAACCAAGGCCACAAGTGTGAAGAAAAACAAGGGGAAGAGTTGTGAGAAAAATAAGTCATTCGCAGGGGCAATGACAAGACTGATGAAAAGCTCTGATAATGCAACTTCTGAGTCTGCAATGGCTGTCATAGAGGACATGTGGCAATTCATTTGATCTAACTGGAGCTCATTTTCCTGAAACCAGGCATGCAAAGTTAAAGAAGACCATAACAGACATTCAAGAGTTTAGGGAGAGAAAAATAAGGTTGATAGTTCATATTAAACAAATATTTGCTGGTTGGACACAAACACAACTGCAAATGAATGATCTACATTTGCTGTATGTGTAAATAGTGAGATATGTGCAAAGAGATTCTCTGGACCTCTGCTGGGCAGCCAATAATTCAGTAAAATAGCATTAGGCAATATTTTGTATTTAGTTTTTCCTAATTGTTACAATTATGCAGCACAGTAGTGTCTCAAATGGGTAATCTATATCAGGAAACATATAATGAGAATCATGTTAATAAGTGGTTACGATAATGGATGGATGGATATATCAATTAAAAAATAATGGTAGCAGTGTGGTCGGTAACTCAAAGAAAGCATTTTTGTCAATACAAAAACACCATGTGACGACGGGTTGCTTTGTGTTAGAAAAGTCTAACATCACATTTTGAGTTTGCCACCGTTCACTCATGTTAGGTGGAAATATTCAGTTGGTTTCAAAATTTGTGAATCAAGTGATTGAAAGCAATCTGAGGTCATTTGTGTGAGTGCTGAGGTTTCAGTGGGAGTGGAGCTTTCAACAGAATAAGGATTAACATTTACAAGTTCAGCACTGAATGGCTTAAAGGAGGAAGAGGGGGGGTAAGGAATGGTCAAAGACCAAATTTTAATTCCACTAAAAATGTTGAATGAGGGTTGATGGGGGCAATGCGTGTCAGAAAACCAGCCCCTGAGGTCAATGTTTTACATCTATTCACCCTACTATTGATTGACTTGATCACATTTTGGCAATAGTATTGAATTAGGTGGATAAAAAATAAACTAAGTTTATTTAATAATTCACAAATAGAATACATCCAAAGTTTTGCCATTCCTTTAAAGTTTCAGTACACGTCTGAAACGAAATAGTTAGGTCAGCTCCTCATGAAACTTTTGTTTGTTGTTTATTTATCTTTGTATTTGCTTTAGTGAAGAATTTAATTCAGCCTGTGTTTTGACTATGTGCCATCACTAGTTAGCAAATTATGCTCAGTGAACTTCATGAAGTTCTTTCTCTATCCCATTGTAGTTTTTATTGCTTTATTTAGCTGAAATAAAAAAGAAACAGAAAATGTGTCAAGATCTCTTGAAGTGTATACTGTACAGTACTCGAAAATGGAGTACAGTCTACATACAACAATACTGATTGTGCATGAACTATTATTAATAAACATATTTCTTCCATTGTGGCTTATTTAGTTGTGCTGCAGCTCTTGTGTTAGTTGCCACCTCTGGGCCACTGCATGTATCATGTTATAAGCACGTACAGTTGTGTTATATTGTGAAATAATGTGGTGTGATGATTAAATAAAGCAAAAAAAAAGACAACATTACTGTGAAGCAGTAAGACGCAAGATGGTGAGCAGGAAAGCTTTCTTGGGGATTTCAAGTGGTATTTCTGCAACAGTCTTCAAGTATTGCATCATCTTTGAACATGTTTCACTGCACAAACAACTTCCTCCAGATAAGAACACAGTCTGGTATCATTCCCATCATGGTTTTGCACCCGGTACTCAATTTCTATTTTATGTAACATGCTATATGGCGTTAAAATGGGTCTCTTAAAGTATATTCAGTTAAAGCTTGTGCTAAAGGCTCATACTCTCTTTTTACGCCAAAAACAATCTGTATGAATGTAAATATCAACATGCATTGGCAACTGTAGACTACAATGTAAATTCCAGTTACATTAAGATATATAAATACGCCTGAATTACAATATTTCTTTTTTCGAAGAAATTACCCAAGGAAACTATACTGAGAGTGGTGTGTGATGTCGAGATGTGAGCACAGCTCTGTCTGCTAAAGGATCACAAACTATGGCCTTTAAAATCTACAGTTTGCTTTCTGGACCAGTCTCGGTACGAAGATGCAAAGAAAGATCTGTTTCACAAAAAGTTTGAAAACACTAGTTATAAAGGCTAACAATTTGCTTGTCTCTGCTCTACACTTAAAGGGCACTGAATAAGGGGTAGCGCCCAGAAACGACAGGACTGACCCAAAGCTTTGGCACTGTGCTGGTTCCCATTGTATCACAGTGTCATCATGAAGATGAGCACAAAAGAGGCCCAGGAGAATCACTTTTAAAAGACAAAACAAATAAAAAAAGTATTGCTGGTTTGACAAAAAAAAAGTATGTGGGATAGAGAGTCTTCAAAAACCAATCCTAAACTTTCTTTACATCCTTTTCTGAAACCTTAGAAAGGCTTCAACCATCCAATTACTGGCAGTTCTATACTTTTATTGGAATTTAGATTAAATGATTTGTGTTTCAACTAGGACATGAGCTCTGAGGAATTAAGGAGTTTAGCATGGTACATGTTTTTTGTACAGCTGAAAATGTCCAAATGTCTTCATTCTTGCAGTTCTATCAACTTCAGATTACACAATAATGCCTATTCATGGGGCTTACCTTAGGGATACTGTGTCCAAAAATAATTGTGCAAGTAGTACTGTGTCGCAGCTGAAAGGTCAAAATGGTGTGGAGATGCAACAGTTCAGCTTAACACACGCAGCACACCCTGCGTGTTTTGAACGTGCAGCCCTGAGCTATAGTGTGTGGATTGTCTATCATTTTTTACCCTGCAAGATGTAGAAGACATCTTTAAAAAAATATTAACCAAGTTTTAAACCCAAGTTTAAATTCACGTTGCATTTGGTGTCTGTTGATGATGTTGCACTTCAAATTCTACATTGGCTCAGTTTTTTTTATAATTGATTAAAAAAATCCATCCATCCATCCATTATCCTCCGCTTATCTGGGGAAAAGTGTTTTGATTTTTTTTATAAAAATCAAAACAAACTGATGTTAAACTGACAGCTCATCGAACAAAATGGACAGGCCATGCTAGATGCAGGTCTCCTGGTAAATCACAGATTAGATGGTTTATGACATTCTTTGGGGAGTTTTAGCCAATGGAGGGGGCCCCTCAATTATTTACAGGGATTATATGGTGTGCTTTATATTAAGGTATGCACATAAAGAGTATGAGTCAGGGAGAGCAGAGCTTTCGCATAGCCGTATTAGCACCAAGCAGGAGCTAATCTGGCAGCAAGCAACCGGGCTAAGAGGGGGCAAGTTTCAAAACAAACACGGCCAAAGATCTCAAAACCTCTACTTAATCTACATTCATTGGGTTTAGATTTGGTACAGGCCCTTCAAGATCGGCTGCTGCTTGTCACTGCAACAAGTCACTTGCTAAAATTGCTCTTTATCCCCCAATTCTTGCCTTGAAGGCTGCCAGATGACATGGTAATCCGGCAAAACAGAGCAGTGTGGCGGCCTGGTTTCGTAAGGTTTCAGTTTTCAGCTTTGCTGGAAAATGTGTATGGGAATGCCAAAATGAAAGCAGTATGCCAAGGGCACAAAGCAAAAAAAAAGGCTGACGGGGAGAAATGGTTTGTTAGTTTTGTAAGGCTGAAGGAAGTACTGAACTAATATTGAAAATGCTTCCATGGAATCTCAGTTCCAGTTAATGGTTTTGAATTCCTTCTAATGTAACTTCCTGGAAAACCCCGTCTGATTCCAATAGGCAGTCAAGCCAGAATTTTCATCTTGTTCAGATTTCAACAGGTAGGCATGAGAGTTCCTCTAGGGGAAAGTATAAAAATGGGTGATAATCAGTCAACCTTTTGAAGGATTTCCATCTTTTTCCATCAGCTTTACACACACAGCTTGGAGCCAGAATGAAATGCAACGCAGGAAGGCTGGCTCATTTCACAAATCTGAAAGTTTGGAGTAGGCATAGATTACAATTACAATAGAAAAAAAAAGAGAAAGTATGAGGAAGTGTCTCACACAGGTGTCATGGGAAGCCCCACATGGCAGCAGTTATACACAAGGATTGTAAGAGACTGCATCAGCACGCCCCTGTCAAAAGAGTGTATTGTACGTTATGTAATGCGCTCAAAATGCTAACCAAAGGTTAACGAGTATCCGATATAGAAGAAATTATGTGTTCTTGAGCAAGTACGTGCAGATACGGTCCAACTCAGCCTCTTACTGTAATCCAGCCATGCCAAACTAAAGTTTCTCAGAAATTTAGTAATATATTGTTGTAACTATTTTTATCTTAAAACAATCGTTTTATAATTTGAAGGACAAAAAACTTTGTTTTCATTGTAACGGATTTTTTCTTCTACTTTTCAGATCTTTGTCTGCACTTGCGAAATTCTTTGAGAACACAAAATGTTATCCTTTCCTGATTAGTGACAAGACCAGTTCTGATACATTTCACATTTTCCCTGGGCTTAATGGTGGCCTATAATTACATTAAACAGATGAAATTGCGGCTCACTTCGTGAAGTGTTTATTCATTTGGCTGAATGTCTGTTGGTTGTGAAAAGCGTGCAGGAACTTTTGTAATCTCCCCCCCCCCACTTACATTGCACAGAAATTCCAGTTTAATGTGTGATGAACAGCTTGCTGCACAAAAACACAAAGCTGCATGGCTGGTTAAATCTCATGGAAACACAGCATTCACAACACGGCAACCTTTTCCTTATTTTATATAAAAACAATATGATTTGAAAATAAATATGCTTTACTGTTTTACATAGACACAGAAAACATAATAGTGGAGAAGGGACAAAGAGAGCTAATAAGGAAAGGCTCTAAGACTGATGGCAGACAGGATGGAGATTGTTATCCAAATTCAAAATGGTGGTGGTGGTGTTATGGTGTATGCTGAGCTGCTAGCAGTAGTTTATTTGTATTTGCATTTTGCACAACAGACAGAAAACAGGTCTGCTACTTATTTAAATACTTAAATACAATTTACTAACACCTACATACAGATGTGCATACAGCAAATTCCGGTGAACACACATTCATTCATAAACAAACACACATGCAAGCACACACACAGGCGCTCAAATGTTAAAATTCTACATGGCACCCACACCCACAGATGACAGGGGTTGAGAAGGAGATGTCATCAGTAAAAATAAACCATTTAGGGAATGTTAACAAAGACTTTTTTCTTTCTTTTTTTGTTTTGTAAAAAAGCACAGGAAGCCTCCATGCTGAAAGCAGCCATCAGTGACCTTATACATGAGGGAGAAAAGACAGCTACAGGTACATAACACGGCATACATAAATAGACCAAATTAAATATGTGTTGAAAAGTGAATACTGTAAAATACTCTATAGCATTATAAATTATCTAGAATGAGCTATGGCATAAAGGGATATTAAGTATGTACAAGTTTAGAGCAGATGTGTAATCAATGGGTTTTGGATTGAGTTAAACAGCAAAGAAACCTACTCTGATAACCCCTTCTCCTGAAAAAGAAACAAAAAATAATTTAAAAAGCACTCCAAAGATTTCTCAGTACATTATTTGAGGCACAGTTTTCAAATGGAATCAAACTACAGTATATGATATTTCAGTGGTTTTCTTGAAGGACATAGGGAAAGACATAATGCTATACTTATGATCAGCATCCCTTTCAAAATATATGGCACCACCATTCAACAGTCCCCTCTAATGGCAAGCGTGACGCTCTGTAAGTCCATATCAGTTCTGCAACATCCTCAGAGGGAAGGAAGCGATATCAAGCAGAGAAAGTCCTCCATCTATTGTCCTGTTTATTCCTGCTGTTTCACTCCAAAAGCTTTAGCAGACGTCGAACGACAAATGTCCATCCATCATTTCAGAAAGCAGAGCACACCCATGTCCTCTTCAGTCTCACCCGCTGTTTTAGAAGTTAAATATATCTGGAGGTTTTGCATGTTATGAGTGAAACACACCACAGTAGACTCATATCCAGTGAAGTAATTGCATACAATGAATTGACAATAAGACTACACCTGCGTCACAAGCCTGTTAGAAATGCAAAACCACATGGTGACTACTGCGCTTTTAGTCAAATGATGGGTTTAGTTAGTTGTTTCTGTAGCAGCATTACAATTCTGTACTCTTTTTTATTTTCTTTTGTCATGGACTATATACACACAGATATACAGAGGGAGGAAACTTCTGTTCAGTCTTTCTTTTTGTTCTCTCAGTCCAAGGGGAATGCTTTCCAAAAAAAGAAGAGCTTACGGTTCAAAGGTCAAAGTGCTGTGCTGTGAAATATCTCTAGAATATTCCTTCATCTTGTACATCTGGTGCTGCCACCTCTCTCATCTTCTCGGCTTGTCACATCTAAACGAGAGGAAAAGACAAAAGAGACACAAAGAGTTGTGATGAACAAATACATATTAGTAGCAAAGTGGCTAAATACAATGGGAATAGGCATGGCTTCTAACCCGAGTGTCATGCATGTGTGCACGCTAGAGAGCTAAAGTTGTGATGGGGAATGCTCCACCGGCTTTCGTCACACGTTACTTAGCATGCCTCTCACCTGCAGTAACTTATTTGGCCATTTGGGGCAGCCGGTAGTGTATTGAAAGTAGCGAATATAATGGCACTCTTTGTTTTTTGTTTTGGTTTTGAGGTCTTGATTTCAACGTGGGCCGTTGCTTTGACCGTATTTGACCATATGACCAGCATATGATCATATTTAGAAAAAAAACACTCTTCTCCAAAGATTTAAACTAATCATTCTAAAATGCCACATCATGGACTTTCTAAACAACAGATGAATGAGATTTACTTGAGAGAAATATGTCTTTCTTTTTTCTTGTCTTAGTATTTCTAAAATAAAAATGGATTCTTTTGGCAAAGGAGTTTGTAAACTGCAGATATTAAAGGACTATCAAACACTTGTTTTGGAAGCTTTGAGTGGGCGGGTGAATGGTTTTGCTTGATTTGGTTTTAAATATATAAATGGTAAATATACAAATATATAACTATAATAAAAACTCTTCCTGGATTTGGCAAAAAAAAGCAAATAATTGATGCATTAGAGCAAACTTCATGTGTTTTTCCAGAATATTGTCAATCATAAATTGCTACTCAACAAATCAAGAGTCCACTTGGACGTGATACAGTAGTTTGAAGCAGAAGCAGAAGTTAGACATGTCAAAATATTGCAGGAAATAAGCAGAGAGGGGGATGACGTGGGATACAGACAAACTACAAAATTCTAACCCCTTGTTTCCACCAGATTAAGTTGTGAAAAAGACTCTGCCTTTGTCACCACTCGAAGGAAAGAATTCCCATGAACGCTATGTGTTAAATAGTTTGCTCAGAGAGCAAAGTGACGCAATAGACCAAGATTTCAGTTTGAGAAAGTGAAATGTCAGCACATTCAAACTCAAAGAAAAGACAGACAGATGACGCGTGAAAACCAGCCAGGTGAAGCTTGTGTTACAACCAGATGCACCGTGGTGCGTTTCAGAGGAAGCTCAGGTTCTGATCTGTTTCTGACCAAAGCCAAGTCAACCGGCCCAGGCCACACCACAGGGGACACCACAGATTATCGGGTCAATTTTTAAAATGACACCTCCAGAGCAGACCCGGGTACCATTGACTGCTTTACTCTTTCTCTCGGCCAAGGTTTGAAAATTAACTGCGGGAATTTTTTGGGGGGAGTACAAAGTAATTCTCTGCTTCTGAGAGTGCTCCAAATATAAAATGAAGTTGTGCAAAAGATAGAAGGAAACCGCATGCCAGCTGGGTCGTGGTGCGACTTCGTCCAGTGGAAACAAGGGGCAACAAGCGGACTACAGTAGCTGCTACAACAGTTGCAACACGGCTGAATTTTGGGTTAGTTGTGTTATTACATAAGTAATCTAGGTTTTCCAACGAAATCTGGAAGATCTAGTTTGAGTTTAGCTCCAGCAGTAATGCTTACTTGCAGGTCCTCTCGTTGAGCTCTAGCTGGCGTTTTTTACAGTATTCGTCTGTGTGTTTGCAGGAGCACCGGCAGGTTGCAGGGTCCTGCACAAACAAACTCTTTCTCTTCTCTTTGCAGTGATCACAACATGGCTCACAGACACTGGACAGACAGAGAGACAGACAGAGATGGGGAGGAAGAGGGAGAGGCAGATTATAACAGTGTACTATTACCACCGTAGATAGGTCACCCTTAGGTCAACCCTTTCAGCAGTGTGCTTCTCCAAGCCACTGCAGGATTGCTCTGCATGTGACACTTGGGTAGCATTGCCCACAAGTTCCCGCAGAGCAAGCAAAATAATAATAATAATAATAAAAATGATAATAATTATAATAATTATTCAAGCATTAAAAAGACCACCCACCCCCATCCCTTCCACACTGATTGGACCACTTACAAACAACTTGGGTTAGGCATGCAGTGAGCAAAGTTCTGCACCAATTCATGCAACACAAAACAACGAGAGTAGCTTTGAGCGGCAGGTTAAGGAATGCAAACTTCCCCATCACCCTTTTACAAAGGTACAGCTCCTGATAAAAAAGACTCAAGGGTCTGTTTGATGCACCGTTACAAATATTGCAATTTTTATTGAATGAAAACTGAAGACTGTTTCTCACAGAGAGAACATGAGATTCAAAACAAAGGCGCAAAGTGATCTATATTACATTTCTTAACAAGGGTAAAGACTCACATATTCCACTGACATCTCAAAGTACAAATGACAAATAACCATACAGACAAGAATATGTTCACAGTATGAGAACTCAAGAAACATGAGGTCATCTTCATATTAGTTTAGAATAAAATAGGAGTTATTCTTATGGTTTCAGACACAAAAGTAGGCAAACAAGGAAACAAAAACAGTACTTGCCAAAGAAAGAAAAGAAAAATAGAAAAAGGGCAAAAGATAGCCATCACTCATATCTCAACATTACATAAAAAGTACCAGCATTAGGCATGGGATAGCGAAACCAGTTTTTAAAAGAAGAAAAGAACAAAGAGAGGCAAGGAGACGGGTACGAGACACAGCAAAGCAGCACAGACTCAACACTGAGGACAGGACCATGATCACAATCCTGGTGATCCCAGCACAGATACCACACAGTGTGAGCCAGTCTGCAAAGCCATGCTGGTGGATCTGTGATCTGTTTCAGTATACTGTTCAGGTTACAGCTAACAGCTGGTCCGAGATCTGTTTATTGCAGCATCTTTAAACACCTCCATTATCAATCGCACAGTTTTCTATTGCACAAGGTCTTAGATACAATTGGAGCCCCAGGTTAGCGCTGTTATATATGATCCCAATTGCTGGTCCAGTCTCATCCAGAAGGATATTACATTCTTACAAACACTGGCTGAGATTAGTTGGTGAATTTGAGAGGCTGAGACGGGTTATGGTTCATTTCTTGCAAGATGGAATATGGCAAACTTTGCAACCCTGTCCAAGTTTTTGTTATGTCAGATTTCGCAGAAGGGACATTAGCAACAATCCGTGTCAGACAGGCCAGCTTTGACACTGATTCTCCTGAATGTGTAGAGCATGGCTGACGAGACAAAGTTAGGACAATGCACGGAAGCAACATGCTAATTGATGTGGTTGACGGGTAAATTAAATGGTAAAAATTAAAATGGGCAAAATAGCTCCTCCCAAATTAGCTTAATTATGAGAAGCGCAACACTCAGATGCAGGTAGGTGGAGAAGGCGGAGCTGACATACGCATCATGAATTGTTTTGTCACGGTTTTTCTTTCGCTTTCTCTTTTGGCCTTTGCCCTTGCCTTTCCGGGATTTTCTGCAAGAGAAAAAGGACAACAACGCAGAAAGATGCCTCAGAGACTGGCGAAATAAATAGACTGAGACGTTGACATTGTACACTGATGACAGCTTCAGCGGGTAACAGGAGACTTTTTTTTGTTTTTCCATCAATTTAAGCACTTGGTCATTTGAAAAGGTTTATCGATAAGATTTCTAATTGGGACTCTGGTGGTTCCACAACATGGAATTTTACTAGAAAAGCATCAAATCCAAATTCTTTCAGTGGATGGAAAAAGAAAAAACACTTAATTAAAAGAATTAAAAGAACTACGTCTAAAAAATCTAAAAAACAGAATGGCGCTCGTTTTGCGAGAAAAATCACTTCATTGTCCTAATCAGGTTCAAAGGACTTTTCAGAAAGATTGTTTTATGAGTCAGTACAATGACTCTGCAGAGAGTGAAACCAATTAGAAGTGTGGGGCTTGCCGTGGGTGGAAATTTCCCAGATGAATTGAGGACAAAAGACTTGGACTTCACCAAAACTGCATCTTTCAACATATCTGGGTCAACTCTTCAGAGCTGATTCAACTTGTTTCATAAAGGAGTACAAAGAGAACAAACAGAAGTGTGCTTATGAAGCGTACACAAGGGGCTGGATGCATAAACGATGTGTGAGCGCAACAAGCATGCGTACTCCTTTTCCTGCACGTAAGCAGTTATTTGGACAAAACTAGTACTTGTGCGCACTTAACACCATGTGTACACACGCTGGAGTCCCTAAAGGGAAATATAATTTCTTTCTCACGTTGCAGAGTCTGTGCTTCACAGGCGGTGACGATTACTCTTTGTTTGTCTTTTTGTTTCTGTTGTCAGACATGTGGTAAGTTCCATTTTTTTTAAAGTGCAAATGATTACTTCAAGGAGTGTATAACCACTATCTGGTGTGTGCAGTTTTTACAACGATTTTGATTTACAGACGTAAATAAATATTAAAGAACAAGTGCATTTTAAAAAAAAGACAAAATTATTGTGAACGTACGTTTATGCTTTTGCGCCATTTAAGTTAAGAATCTATGCACAATTGTATGCATCTGGCCCCTGGTGTTTCACATTTGAGTGGAGTTACAAAACTTTGGCCCCGTACTAATGTTTCAGTCAAGCACAAAACTAAAACTTCACAAGTCTATTCTATATGGATAGTGCTACTAAAATACGTTTAATCGGATGTTCACAGGCACAAAGTTGTTTTTTATTTTTCTCCTTTTAAACATTAAGCTTTACCACCAGTTTCTGGTCCATCCTTTGGAACAGGAATAGAAATAGCTAAATCAACATTTGAGCAGAACATCATCGGGTCAGACCAAGTCCCACAAACTCAGAAGTGGACGCAGCCCATGTGACCGTACGCTACTCCATTCAGTCTTTTTCAAAGTGTGTTATGCAGCCGCAGGTTAGATTTCAAAACAATAGTATGAATGTCCTTGCTCTTTTGGACGTCTGCTCGCGGCAGGCTTTCCTGAGGAAAAATAAATGCAATTCCGCATTAAGTTTTGCTGCAAGAGCTGCAGAATTTGTTTTTTAAATATTGCAAGTTGTGTGCCCATTTGAATGAAGCTCATTTAACTGGATCCTTCCACACGCTTGCAGCTCTCCTTCCACCTGTTTATTGAAATGCCACGCAAGGGGGCGACGCAGATTTTAGTGTCAAAAGAAAACCAAGGTGTTGCTACAGCCATGCTCGTGGCTCAGTTAAGTTCAATGGCGCTCAGCTGTATGTTCCCATTAGCATGATGATATTTAGCAACAGTCGTATTCAATGTTCAGCATTTTGGTTTAGTGAGTTAGCAATACAAATCAAAGCAATTTTGAGCTGATGATGTTTTTTTCTCATTAGATCAGAAGATCGAGTTATTATAATTCATCTGTTCATCAATTGGTCAAATTTTCTCATCATGAGCCACCAAATGTGCACAGCGCGGTCAATCACAGCCCACTGAAATCTGCATGTGTCCTTTGACTACCAAAAGCAATCAAAACCCGTAACGGTGGAAGATTTTGAAAGTCTGGATAAAGTGGTGGACTGGCTGATAAACTAACAACACAGCGACACTGCTGTCCCAAAGTCTGCTGGCATGGCTAAAAGAATACATGTTTTGACATTTCAAGGAAGAAGCCCTGTATCCGTGTTACTGAAAAACACAGAGTGTGTGGAAATCCCAAATGGATTACAGTCAGGACCAAACACCAACCGATTCACGAAGCAGGATGTGTGTAAATATAAAGACTTCCGCTTAATTTGCAATGATCAGGCCTGTTTCGCCTGGGGACGGTGACAGTTAATAATTTCACAACCTCAGCAGGATGACTCACACTGACAGCCTTGGAGACCTCTTGAGAGGTTAGCGGCCAGTGATAACACCGACACGAACATATGAAAGTTTCAGAAACAGAAGTTGAATGACCTCAGGACCATCACTTTGTAGAAGCACACCACCAAAGCCAGACTCATAAACAGTTTAGACAAGGTTAAAGAGAAGGTCTCAAAGCTGAGGCTTATCTATATGACAGACGACCTGACATAAAACCAAAATACAACTGACAACAACAACCGCGCAATGGAAAAATATTAACGACTAGGCACAGATGGGGGATTAAAGAGCTTTACCAACCCTTGTAACACTGAATTGACAAGCATGGGATAGGAGGATCACTCAAGCAAAGACCGCTAACAGCAAATTTAACAGCTCTTAAAAAACACTTATCTATATCAGAGCAATTAGAAGCAGGAGTCACAAAAGTTCAGTGGGACGTCAACATGTGAGAATAAAGGAGAGGTATGTAAAGAAAAGATAGAAAAGAGAGGGCAATGAACTCATCAAATGTTACTCAGTCACCTGCTGATTTAGTTGGTGTTCCCCACGTTTATGAACTGAGTGCAGCATGCTAATCCCATGCTATGTATGAGATGATCACAAGTAGGGTGTCCATTGAGACTCTAATGAAATGTTTCAGTGTTGGGAGTGAATATGTGCACGATTGCGTGAAAAGATTATGTGAGAAAATAACAGGTGGATCAATTAGAGTGTGCAGTAGTATGAAAACCGGAAGGCTGAGCGATGTAGACGGCAGAGAGTGAGTTTATTTTAAAGGTGATATCAAATTTCAAGCCCCCATTGTCCCTCCCTCCCCTGGATATCCCAAATCTCCATGCAAAGAGAACTGCTGTACTCACTTTTCTTTCTGTTCTTTCACCTCTGTCTTTAATCTGAAAGGCAGGAACAACACAACATGACATTAGCAGCATTCCAACTGTTTCTTAGTAAACAGATATGTATCAAGACCATTACATGCTACATCAAGTTATGTCATTGTCTTGTAGCAGAAGCTCCAATAAAGCTGGCTCTCACTTTTAAATGCTTGGCTTAGTAAATGAAAACAAAGTTGTTGGGAAATAATGCAGAGTACACACTCAATACAGGGGGAACACAGAGGGGTGTGTTCACTGAGGGATATACACACACACATACAAACGCGTCCACAATAGGAAGCTGTCAGATTCGTTTCACTTCACGTCCATGTGACAGCTCTTGCCGATAAGTGAGTGTGGAGCAATAAATCTGCTGGCACTCTCTACAGGCGACAGTTTGCCAATAGTATTAGGAAACAATATTTTTCTCAAGATGAACTTGGACTCTTGGCCAAGTTTCTATTTGACGGGCGGGTGGAAAAATCCTCCTGACGGAGTGAAGTGACTTCACTTCTCCAGCGCCCTGACTACATGTAGCATGTTTCAGGTAAAATCCTTGGTTGGAGGCTGAGGAGATACAATATCTTATAGTTGAAACTGACAGTGCAGTCTGTTGATAGTGGAGGTCAGTTATTGGCAGCGATTGAGTAGAAGAAGTAGATCCAACAAAGAACTAACCTTCAGGAGAAAAAGTAAAAAACAACAGCTGTGGTGGACATCTCCAAGAGGAAAAGCCCATCCAAGAGCGGACGTTCGTCCGTGGGAATATTTAATACAGTATTTTTTATCTGAGACATTACTGGCCAGCTTATCGCCTGCCCATTCAGACCAGAAACCAGTTTTGGTTTTGTCCCGTTGTACCTGATTTTCAAAAATGATTTCTAGGCTAGAATCAGTACAAGATTATGTAGGCTACAAGCTTTTTTTGCAGAGAATTAAAAAACCCCACTTTGATTAATGTTTTTTTAAGGTCTTATGAATGTGCATCAAACAGTAAAAGAAGCTGCACCTCAACTTTATGAGGCCTTAGCACAACAGAATATCCCAGACAACCATTCCACTTTATACTATCACTCCCCTGCTGCTGCTTAAAGTTACAGCAGCATTTTTGAAAAAAATCACGGGTATGTCAAACTTGGACTTTACAATTTGAAGTTGTGACAAGTTGCGCAAATACAGGGAAAAACTAGAAGAGAGCAGCTTTAACTTGGCCCTTTGCCAGACCTGTCGTTCCTGCAATGTTTTTCTTTTTCCATCGTCCAGTAACAAGGGTGGATGATGTGTATAACCTCTGAGCTGCTGCATCACATCACAAACTCCGGCCCCGATAATCATATCAACATGAGAAAAGGACAGATTTCCCTGGCAGGCCAGCAGGAGACGACACATCCTCAAAAAATAGGTGACAGACCGGCTCATGATTAGCTCTCGGGAGAGTCATGATTATTTCAAGATGATGCTGCGCCTTTCCTTTTGAGGGACGGTCAAATTAGACAGTAAAATGATGGAAACATTTGAGCAAGGCTCTTTTCTTTAACATTACATTCGATTGCGTGAACTTGAACCAAAGAGTCATCTTAGAGTTGGTTTATCAACTTCAGACAAGGCAGTGCAAGCTTAATTATGTGCTTAAAGTGACAATGCTCATGATATTAAATGGCATACTATCAGTCCCTTTGCATCCTGCTGCAGCAGCTAATCAGGGACAGCTTGCCCCAACTCAGTTTCAAACTCCTGATACCCTACACCATCCATATGAACTGGGTATAAAGAGATGGTGAGTCTCGCCTTTCAGACATAACTGATGATTTAACTCCTGGAGAACGCACATTTCCCCTGATTAGCAATTGGAATATGACATTCAAGCACTGATGTACTTATTTTGAGCAAATAACGACAATGACTTTGACTAATAACCTAACCTAAAGACACTAAAAACCTTTGAGCAGCTCATCTTTTTATGCATCTCTTTTTTACTTCTTCTTTTTTTCTTTTACAACAATGAACCATATTGAGCCACATTTACTTGACAGCACCTGTTTCTGAATGTGAACAAGTCTGTGCCCTCTGAACCTATATTTCAACACAGGAAGTCACCTGACTGACAGAAGGCAATAAATAAAGTCAAATGACTTCTGGGAGATTGATAACAAAAGCAATCACACCTTTGGTATGCAGTTACAGCATGCCATAAAGCCTGGGCAGTGCTATGGAATGAGGATATATTCAAAGCATGGAGGATGTCTGCAACGATATGTTTAAACTTGCTTAGAAACTTAGAAACAAAGAAAAAAAATCAGCGCTGTGAATGAAGCCAAGATAAGATATGAATCCATGTGATTCGAATCTGTTGAATGTGTCAGGGGCGAGCTGAAAACAATAACTTTACATGGCATGTTTGGCCAAACTCTGCTCTGTGACACAATGGGGCAGTGATTTGCTTTCTCACTGGTGTGTGTACATGCATGTGTGTGTGTGCGTGCATACAAGAATGTGTTAGAGGTTTCTTACCTACACTCACATGCGCTGTGTTCTGTAAAACTCATGAAAATATCATTTTGTTGCCTTTGGGGTTTTATTCTTTTAATCTGTTGGAGAAAAAAGAGAGAATAAATTTTAACAAGGAAGAAAAGTCACAGGTAGCATCATCTCATAGAGTTTCGGTTCAAATTCAGATTTTCTGCAAATTTAGGATTTATGGACTATTTTTTCTGCATTGCATTTTCCAGTGTACGGTTAAGTAGGAGTTTCTGTAATGTGTTTCTTTTTGTTTTTGTCTGCTGATCCTCAGCTGATTAGATGGTTCAAGGCTAACTGGCCAATCAGGATCTGGGAGGTACCAACTACTGATCGGCCAAGAACCTATACTTTAGCTAATCTAGAAAGAGAGAGAGAGGGTCTAAAATAAGCGACAAAATCAAATAGTAAAAAAATCAGTGTTTTGAGAGAATAAAGGTTTCAGCTTTGTTGGTGTTAAATTAAAATCGTCTTCACGAGGAGAGCTTAGTTCAAAGGGTCTTTGTCTAAATACTTTACCTGTTGGTGTTACAGAATGATTCAAAGAGACTTTCTTAAGGGCCAAGAATGAAAATAAAAATGGGGGATCTTTGCTGAATCCTGAAATTCACTTTGGACCTCCCAGTGTTTCTTTTAAATAAAAAAGCATAAAGTTACCCGATGTAAAACATTAGTGGTGTGACTGAGAGGGCTGACCTCCATTGTGATGTTGTAGCTGGCTGTTGGCGTGCACTGCAGCATCTCGTCGCTGCAACAGCCGGCGCAGCGCTTCAGCACCACGCAGGACGGGATGAAGATGTGCTCCACCTCGTCCGGGTACTCCTGCAGTATCTCCACCAGCAGCTCTCGAGGCTGACACAGACTCTTGTTATACACCTCCATTAGGGGGATCACTGGGGGACAGAACGGCACGACAACAGTTACAAAACGGCACCGGAGCTCCAGTTTCTCTGACTGACCCTTGAACACAGCAGCACACACCTAAACAGATTTGGACCAAATATTGGCAGGCACACAAAACACTTCAAGGAGAGTAAACATACACACTCGTATAAGTTTTTATCCCTATTATTCCATTCAAAAGCACTTTGTTTACATAGGAAAACAATGACTGTCCTACTTTTACAAACACTTACATAATTTGTCATTTGTTGACAATAACAAGTTTGCAGATATAGCTAAATCGACCCCATCTGCTGGACGAAACCCTGGGAGTCCCCCCGTGTTTCTGGCTCTGCCGTGTTGTCATTCACCTTGTTTGCGGTTGTGCAATAGCAGCCTGTAGTTTGCTTTTTCACCTTCACTCCACTACCCCCCCGCCCCTGCCCTCCGCACAGTATCACTGTCTTTGCAGGAGTTCGCTTCTTGAGAAAGACATTAGCACACAGACTTGAAAACCCTTCTGAAACATCAGTGAGGCCTGAAACAACCCCAGCCTGACCGGCCTCTGGGAGGCCAAGCCAAACATGACTGCGCCTGAGCAATATCAAGAACCCCGGCTTATGATTGTCCAAATTAGATTGGGCAACGTCGGGATTGTGCAAAATGAAACTGTGGGCCAAGACGGTGACATTCCTTTCTATAAAGGAGTCTGGTGACCATAACGTTTCCCAAGCTCGGCCTCAAATAAAACAGAATGCTGCCCAGGGTGAACACATCCAGTGGAGGAGATTTAAGGGGGAAACTGCTCCTATTTACAGTGAATAAAAAAGGAGTCTGAAGCTGATAAATCTCGGCAGGGTCAGGCTACAAAAACGCTCCGCTAGAGGGCGATAATTTCCCTTTACTGTCAAGGTGAAATTCAAACCAGTCCTTTCTGTTTGGCTCTGTGCCAAGCCCTGAACCCTGCGCAGACTGTATTCCCACGGTACCCACGGTACCCTGTGGGGCACCTACCGTCATGTGGACCTCTCTCTGCTTCCTTCGGTATGTGGGCACTCTAGAGGAGAAGGGAGGACAAAATGTGTTCCGTTAGTTCCAGTGGATTGTGCAAGACGTCAGTATAAAGCCTGCCCATGCCTTTAGTTATCCAGTTGTGCAAAAGTTTCTATTTGCATTTTGACATTTCTGTTTGACCATTGCCAAAATATGAACACGTCGCTGTGTATCTTATCTAAGTCGGCACTCCACACTCCATAAGAGCCTATGGTCACGCGCACACCCATGCCCTCATGAATACTTTGGAAATAAAGACAATCAAAAGGGCGCATTTGAGAATTTGAATTCTCAAGTGATATGGGGAATAAGCAGAAGGTTTTGAATTTTTTTAAAATGTCAGGTTCAGGGCTTAACTCGGTTGTATATTAGCGTACAATAAGCAGTGTGGAAAGCCTTATAAGGCCAAGTGTTTGAGCAAAGGTACAAAGTGCCAAACGCACCGACCCAAGTTCAGCGACGTGGCAAAACTTCATAAACTTGGTAATTGCTTTGTTGGTTTGGTTTTGGTTTCCAAACCTTCCAGGTGCGACTTCGCAGCCTCCAGGCAACCCGGAACAATAACGGTTGCCATCCAAACCGTTCCGAATGTCAGCCCACTCCTCGCGGGGAGTAGCTGTCACCGCACCAGTGGGGCCACGGCGTTTTTTTGGCAATTCTCCATTTGTTCGTTACGCACAAGGTTTCTCTCGTCCCCCCCCCCCACCCTTCCCACATACACCCGTTCTGGCTCTCCACGGTTCACGCAGAAGCGCGCGCAACTCACGCAATACCTCGCCAATATTGCGTGAGCCCCGCGCCTGTGGCACCGGCATGTGCTCAGCGAGTCGGGTTTCTTAGGGTAACACCTCGATTATATTCCTTAATGAAAAGGTGGGGGTGTGTGGGGGTGGGGGATTGAAAAAAAGAAGGTTTTGTTCAGGCTCCACCCCCTTCTGGTGGCGTGAGGGTCTAACCTTGTGGGCTGAGAGACCCCAGCCCCCCAAAACACCAGACACATACTGTATTATTAATGGGTGGGTGTCAAGCTGCCTTTAATCCTGCGCTGATATGTCGATTGATAAACGGGCAGCCGAGACGTCATCCTTATAGTTTAGCCCAGATAAAGAGGCTCGACTATCATTAAATCACCCGATTATTTAAGGAAACTGGCTACTAGATTCTGGAGTGGATCCACACTTTCTTAAGAAGGGAAAAAAGATGCTCGAATGAGGAAGTAGTAGCCTAAAACATCGGATATGGCAACAGCTTTATCTAAGGTGACCAACTGCTGGAAAGGATTTTTTTTTAGTCCAATTATGTCGCAGGAAACTACACAGCCTCCTTCCGAGGTGGTGTCCTGCTTTAGTTTCCCCCTTCACCGTCAAACATTTGCCAGACGCCATACAGCACTTGATTAATGATCGGAAAGAAAAATCATTAGCCATCTATGCGTCCTCAGAGCGCCCGCACAGTGATCCAGTCCACCTGATTCATGTATCAAGTCAGAACTGGTTTGCTCTGATAGTTATCGTTCAATTTCAGTTGGGAAAACCAGCCTCTTCCTAGTCAAAACGTGAGAAGTCTCAAAAGCCGGGAGTGAACCTGCTCACATGTCCTGATTCAGAATGGAGCCACTGCGCCTTTAAAGCGTAATAATATCTCCAAGGTGGTTTCAGAGCAGGCCTGCGATCACCCAGCGTCAAACTTCACAACATTATTCTCTCCTTTTCTCCCCGAAATCATCACTGAGAACACATTTTGGGCACAGAAAACGCACCCCCCACGGCTACGAGGGTTCGATTTATACAGGGTCAGCTATGCGTAATGGCTGTTTAAAGCTCCAAAAGGCCACTGGGCACTTCAGCTTGTTTAAACACGAGCTGTGACCTAGACAGACGAAAGACAAGGACAAGCTACACATTAATGACCAGTGACTACATTTAGCCAAATGGAGATCGATTGATCTTTCTCTCCTTTTTAGGTCCCGTTCGCTCTTAGGAATACACTCACCTTGACAGCTGACAGCGTCAAAAATAATAGTGTCAAACTGTCAATAAAGTTCATGGTGTTGGAAATCCAGTCCAAAAGGTAAGCAACGTTTCAAAACTCAAGCTGGCCTGTGAGGCGATTTGTTCTTTAACATGAAGTTCTCAACAACGGGTACAACGACAAGTGGACCGGCTAAAACTTCTTTAAATGAGGGGGTTTCATCGCAGATCCATGCTGGTCCCAAGGTTGAAGCGTACAATCCGTCTTTTTTTCTTCTCTCCCTACAGATATAAATTCTCCCTTCTCAACTATTGCCAATGATTTTCAAGATATCCAGAAACGCGAGAATCCAAGACGAACAGCGTCTCACATCGTTCCGCAGCAGATCCTGATTTTCTTGAAAAGGAGTAGCAATCCACATTACAAGAATAATCCCATGCTTGTTGAGCCAGGCGTCTCCGAGGGTCTGTCCATTTCAAACTACAATGTGTAAGTTCGGGGATGACGTGGAGAGGGAGGGGAAGAGAAAAAAGCGCGCTGACAGTTATTAGTCCTCCCAAAGTTTGGCCTGATCGCTGGTGTTTGATCCCTCTGTCACTGAGCGTCTCTGACTGAACTTCTGCCTCAGTCAGAGTGGCTGGCGACTTTAGTCCTCAACCCAGCGCGATTGGAGGAGCCCCGGGTAGGTGTGTCCTTCGGGGATGAGACAGCTCACGGCACACTCCTCTAAAAAAGTCTTTCTCTTTTTCCAGACAAAGTTTTACTCATTAAGCGTCCACTCGTGACAACATTTGCTGGCCAATAAAAAAAAAAAAAAAAAAAGGAAATAGGGTCTGACTTCAGCTCAGACGCGTGGGTTTATTTAGATTCCACTTTGGGCATATAGGGGACTCTGACGTTTTGATAGCAATGTTTTATACTCCCACTCTGTTTCCACGCTGTTCACATCAATTTGATCAGTTCCATCACGTACGCGATGCTGCCATTAAAACTAAATAAAGGACGCTGCACTTCTGATTAATATATGAGCAATGTGGTGGGGCTAATGGGTGCTGTGGACCTCGTTTCGGCGACAAATGCCCTCTCATATAAGACTCTATAGGATCGATAAATGATGAGCAGCCCCTTTTTCTACCCCCGATCCATTCAATGTCTGCGAATATCTGCCAGTGGAAAGGTCAGACGCCCAGCACCACTGCTCATTTCCCTCTTCCACCCGATGCGGGGCAAATATTTTCCAGTCTTGTGGCTGCAACCCGTGGTGCGCCCCCCGCGTCCGGCAGGGTTTCCAACTTGCAGAAGTCGTGGAGCGTGTGTGCCCGGACACGTAGCTGCGGAAACGGCGTGCGTGCGCCGTTCAACGTCCCCGTCTGTGAGTGATCCGCCACGCGCCGGTTAAATTAGGAGTTCTTTCTTTTTTCCTTTTTTCTTTTTTTCTCTTTTGGCGCATCTCACGCACACACTCGCGGGGAGCGCGTCGTGATATCCTGGCCGCGTCAGATCATCGCAGAATGGATTTTCTGTGTAACGTCAGGATCGAGAGGCCACCTGGCCGGTGGGTGCTGACCGCGGGCTCTTTGTCCTCCAAGAGGACCAGCTGGGACATCGCGCAGAGGGGGAAAGGGAGCGGAAGGAGACGGAATTGGAGGCAGCGAGAGAAGGGCGTCTGTCTGGGATGCGAAAGGAGCCTCTGAGCTGAGGCGCTTTTGCTCAGCTGCTCCCTCACTGCTGAGCTGCTGTCCATTAGGATAAGAATGAAAAATGAGTGGCAAATAAACACGTCAGCTTACCAACTGTTGTTGGATAATGTCAGTGGAGGAAAGCCTCTATCCACATCACTGACTGAGATAAAGCTGCACCCAAAACACTTGATTACGTACACGTTGATCTTCATGCCCACTGAAATGAAGTTTTAAAAAAAGCTGACTGAATTTCTTCCCTGTAAAATAATTAGTATTTGTCCAATGTTTAACAGAATTGACATAAACTATATGTTATAGTATTAAAATAAATGAAGGATTTGAGATTGTGGTGTAGTAACCCAGAACAAAATATTTCAAAAACCCATTCATAAAATCAGGTCCTACAACAGAGCGGATTTAACTTGGTAAAATGGTAATTCTATCAACTGTTGGCTTAATTTGAAGACTTTCAATGTTTACTGTTTAATTGCAAACTGCAATAACAGTATCTATAACTTATATTTTATGTTCTTTAATCCTAATGAAAAGGCAATTCATTATATTTCAAACTAATTGGTTAGTATATTTAAGCAAAACTCTAAAAAAGGAAAAGACTATTCAAATCCTCTCATTTCTGTTCCCACTTAGTCATCTCTTTTTGTGATATATGGTACAGTGGTGATGCCCTCTAATGGACACCCTGCTGCAGAACAGTGTTTAGTCTTCCTTCTGTGCTCACTGACAGATAGACAGACACCAAGGAGCTGGAAAGAGCTGATAAGTGATGAAATAAGGACGCAGCTATGTGTCTGTCATACGGGGCCTGCCTGCCGCAGCTCATGCCATATTTCGTGTTGGTGGTGTGACCGAGACAGAGGAAAAAAGACGGGCCAAACAATGAGGCGTTACAGTGTAGAGAAGGGATGCCTGATGAAGCAAGAAGGCACAGCCACAGAGAGAGAGAGCGATAGATAAGGAGAGAGGGAGCTTTCACGGGAGGAGAGAGATTCATGTAACCAGAGCGGCACAGAGAGGAGTTCCTCTGTCTGTTCCACAGGTAAATTGAAGAATAACACACGGGTTCATTAGCGATGTCACCACGCTCCTGTTTCTGCTGACTCAGTGGCTGTGCGTTTGCCTGAGTGTATGTGTGGGCTCCAGTGGGCTAGGTTACAATGGACATGTGTACATTTCACCTTATGCTGACTCAACGCAAATTCAGACGCGCACACTTTAATGAGGGCACTTTGGTGAGTGTACAATAAGCACCCTCCCCAGCATCGATCTGCACATTGACACAGCTTTGTAAACACTATTATGTGAGTATGAAACCAGGGTGATTCCTGTCTGCTGTGGGGGACAGCAGGCATGCCCTAATCCTCCAGCAAACACTCCCAGAGCAGCTACTTTGTCAGGGATAAGACAGAGGAGTAATCGGCATGGCTGTTTACAGTGCAGCCACAGTGTTTAATTTAGTCAATGTTTGGCCTTTTTCCACCATGAGCAACCATGCCACGAGTGCTTGCGATCTGATTTCATGCAGCTGCACGAGTAGTTTTCCACACAAGTGCAGGATGGAGTCACAAGGTTTAGTGACGCCGTTGAGAGGATGAAGGATGTTTTTTTTTTCCAGTATGTGTTTCTACCCAACAACTAACTCTGGCTAGTACCATTACCTTCTACAACTGATAAAAATATAAGTTTTTTTTTTGCTATATTAAAACACATTGTGTTGGTTCAAACTTTGATCTAAAAGCACAAATATCAGTGACTTTTCAGTGATATCTTTTTTTGTATTTAGAAATAAACAAAGAAATCCACAATTTGCTGCCAGGAACAACCTCGCAATTTAAAAGTAGTGGGATATGCAAGTGACAGTAGTTTTGAAGATACAAATGATAAAAATAAGTCTCGGTATATTAGGGTGTCAGAATTATATATAAAAATAGAATTGACCAAAAGCTTTGGATTTAAGGAAGTCATGACTCATCGCTTTGGTTTTATAACTTATAAGGTGGGTAATGTGAAAATGTCCTCCCTTTACATAATGTAGGATGGTGTGAGTCAGCCCTGATCCAGACTATGTTAGAACGTTCAAGACATTTTTCTGCCTGTAACTCTCTGTTGGCCTAATGTATATTTATGGATTTAAATCACTATTTTGAAATCAACACAATAATGCTCTTTTTTCTCTCTCATTGTGTGTGCTTGACTAGCATCCCTACTGTCCACATCCGTCTCCTCTTGAAAATGTGAGTTTGACACCAACAGACAGTTGAAATCTTGGACATGGCATAGAAAGATGCATAAAGCTTTTTCAAAATGTCATGCTAAACTCTAAACGGGACAAGAAGAAGAGAAAATCATCTCTCTTAAACTCGTCTAAAGTAAAGGGCCTAACAAATGACAAACATGCACAAGAAGTTCATGCTGTATTTTGGAAAGCCTCAATTTTGGGGTTTAAAGTTTGGGGAGCTTGTAAAAATGTGTTAAAATTTAAGTCCAGTCTTGAAAGACAATAAGTAATTCATACCTTTCTTTTCAGGCACGTCCAACAACTCTGGATGGAGGAAATAACTTTAATAAGTCATTTTCTTTTGTGCTTAAAACCAAGATCATTGTTTCTTATTATTTTTGCCTTAATGTACATCTTTATGCACAGTGCCGATTTAATTCTTAAATTTAGTTCTAACTTGAAGTATAGTTTTCTTCTACAGAGAGAACAGTGTGTTTGAATGAAAGTCACATTGTTCAAATAATGTATAATGTAACAGAGGCATTCTGTTACCAAAAGTCTATTGGCTGACCGCCACAGTCTTTTATCACCTGGCGCCAAATTACACATTCTTCCTCTCTGTTCCCTCTCCTCCTTTCCACCCTTTACACTCCCTTCTGTAAGAATTGAGTCTTTGCCTCTCGGTGCACATTCATGAGAGCAAACGCTGCCGGTAAGACTGTCTGGGTGATCACATTTAACTGCCAAACTCATCTCATATCAATTATCAAGGAATTAATCCTGACTAATCACTCTGATTATAAGCTTGATAAAATTCTGATCTGCGTCTGACTGAGCAGTATGCTCATCTACAAATGGTTCACCCCTGAAATACTGTGGATGCCTCAAGAGGCTCTTCCTCACATTAGAGTTAAAGTAAAATAGCCTTGTTTTATATGTATAAAATACATAAGAATACTCTATCCGCATAAGTGTTTTAATGAGATCAATATTTGGAATGAGAGAAAGGTATTTTAATTTCCATTTCATAAAGGTTGATAACTTCATTGTCATGTCAATCGATTTTGGCAAAAGTAAATCAAACTAATCACTGATCACATTCATCTTTTATCGTAGAAACCATGCCGGATGACCAATGACCAAATTGCACAAACACAGTGATTGTGTCTGTGCTGGTGGGTAATTCCCTTCAAAATCACTTTAATCTCCATCTCTTGGAAGTGATGCGGACACTAAATGATTAGTCCTCTGTAGAAAAACACATGTTCTCCCTGTCTACATTTCCTGGCCATCTCTCTGCTGAGCACTACCAAATAACACCAGCAACAAAAAAAACTAAACATCTTCAAGAAAAGTCATCTTTTTAAACGTCATTCTGTTCTCTTGCCGCAAACGGTTGACAGCTGATCGGACGTTATGCAGCACAGATGAGTTCAGTCACCGCTGATAGTGACTGTATACACTGTCGGCCCGTCAGTGTCACGACCGTTAACCTCCACCAGCTGTGAGGAGCGTGCCGCACCAGGCCGCGCACGTCCACCCGCCCTCCACTAACCTCCGTCCCGCTCTCCTATTAGGATGTGTACACGACGAGAAGCTTTTAAGATCAAGTGAGAGCTGAAGTTCAAGTGTTTTAAAAAGCAAGAAAATAACTTTCCCGCTCCTGAGTATCCCTCCCCCCGTTGTGTTCCGCTCATTCTTCACTTTATCTCCTTTAGTTGGTTCCAGTAAGAGAGTTCGGTTTTGTGTACTCTTTAGTCGAGCAGTTCAAAGAGTTCACAGGCCTATGTGGTCTGCAAAGAGGAAAAATGTAGGGACAGAGCAAAAGGGAGTTGAATCTAGTGTCATTTAACCCAACAAAAGGGTAGTCCTGTCACTACTAATCATATTCAAAAATCTTGGGAGCCATGCGGACGGAACACATGGTGTGCAAATCACACAGCAGAAACGGACTAATTTAGTTTTGCTTACAGAAATGTTTTCAAATGGTCAAACTTAGAAATGGTGTCCGCCACCCGTTTCCTACTATATTCAGTTCAGGAATCATTGAACAGTTCTGATGTAGTCTTAAGCCTCCTTTTTTAGAAGGTAGTTTTGCTGTAAATTGTGAGGCTGCAGGTTGGAGCAGAGTGTAACAGAGAAGATTCAGAGATGTTAAGCATCAGTGCTTCCATCACAACGGACCATTCCTTTAACTTGACTTTTTTGTCTTCTTTTTGACTTAAGAAAAAGAGTGCTGGCATGGTGAAACAAAACCACGGCTAATTGTTGGTAGAAAAGCCAGCCTCCTGTGTCTGTTTGTTGAGCTGGAGAAGGCTAATCTCACAGTTTAACATATCTCCAAGCCGTATTTATGACTTTGTTGTGCTCAGACTAAATAGTGTCGAGAAGAATGCAATTCCTCATTGAGAGTACTAACCCAATACTTATCCAATGCCAAATAGCAAGCCTTGAAATTGAAAGGCATTTGCTGTCGGTGCTTTTAGAGCTTTTATCTCTTGTAAGAACATCTTCCAGGTGTGTTTGGGAACTCTCAGTTAAAGCCGTTTTCCCCCGTGCACGCAATGTCTTATCAGTGTGTACCTTTCATTGTGGACCTGTCACAACTGTCCCATCCGGCCCACTGATGGCTAAACAAGCACCGGCATAAGCACATATACAAACACACCCGCGTACTTACCAGCGCGCCCGATTCCTGGCGAACACTGACCTTTGACCCCGAGGTTCTGACCTCAGGTTAATTGGAGCTCTCTGAGGCTTAAATGAATCCAAACCGATTCAGCAACAGAAATATTCCTGGATCAGACCATTAAATCTTCAAATGAATAGATGAAAAATGTCAGCAGACGCTTTCCATCAAAGAACTGAGCTGTTTTTTTGTTATGTATGTTGTTAAGATTATGTGTTTTTTAAGCCTACTGCAGACGAATGAGTCTGCTGATGGGTGGTCTGATATGGACTCTCTTGTACCAGATTGTAGTTTCTCTAAATGAAAGGGAAAGCCTTCAAACTGGGTAGAGCTATTTGTGATAGAGATATGGTAAA